TGTCCTTTTTCTCCTTGCTTTTAAATTTAGGTATTTCTATAGATATACCCTCAAGTTCCAATTCCTCAAGAATGTCTAGTATACTAATGAACCCATCAAAGGCATTCTTCACTTATGTTACATTATTTTCACTTCTAACATTCTTAGAAATACTTTCTTAGCAATTTTGTCTCCCTGCTTCATTATCTGTTCTTGTATATTGTCTACTGTTTCCATTAAAGCTCTTAGCATATTAATCATAGGTTTTAAAATTTAAATTTCTCATCTGATATTTCCACCATTCTTGTGATATCTGACTCTGATTCCAATGCCTCTTCAATCTCTTCAAACAGTTTTTTGCTAGTTAGTATGCCTTGTAATTTCTTGATGAAAGGCTAAGATGATATACTAGATAAAATAATTGCAGTAAATAGGCCTTTAATAATGTGCTAGTAAAGGGGTGGGGGGAGGAGATGCATTCTGTAGTATTCTGAGTAGGTCAGTCTTTTAGTGATCCTGTATCCCTGGGCTGTAGAGGTCAGCAGTGTTTCTCAGTTCCCCACTCTTTGCTTGAAACAGATTGATGTCTAGAGGTGGCTGGACTTGGATCATCCCTTCTCCCACGGAGATTGGCTCTGGTTAAATAGTTTCTCCTTTTAAGGAGGACAGTCCTCTTTAAGAAGAACAGAATGGTCTGACATACTTCAAAATGGTTACTTTTCCCCTCCCCCTGCCAAAGCAGCAGCAGTTTTTTCCCCAGTATTCACTGTGAGGACCTGGTTAAGTTCCTAGAGGTAAAACTCACAAAAGTGTGGGTCCTTCCTATGAGTGTGTCCCCCTAGAGTTTTTAACTCTCAGACTTGTGCACACTGAGCCTCTAGCCATTCATCAATTGTTGTGTAGGTTTTCCTACCTCAGCACCATGTCCCATGGACAGTTCTGCTGGTGAGTTTTTGCTCTGGCAAACTGAGATTATCTGTATCTGCCTATGTGACTCTCCAATTGGGGGAAGCAGCCTTTTGCCCTGTGACCTTACTTCTCTAATGGATCTAAGAAGAGTTGTTGATTTTTCAGTTTTTCAGCTTTTTACTTGTTGGGACATGGTGTGATTTCTGAGCTTCTCACATGTTGCATCAGAAACTGGAAGTCTATGCCTGCACTTTTCAAGTTTCATTTTATTTCTTCAGGTGACTCACTCATTATTTACATCTCTATTTTAATTATTTTTAGTGTCTGCCTTACAGTTTAAAATACAGGCATACCTGATTTTATTGCACAGCACAGATATTAAGATTTTTACAAATTGAAGGTTTGTGGCAGCTTTTTGTCCAGCAAGTCCATCAGCATAATTTTTCCAATAGCATCTGCTCACTTCATGTCTGTGTGTCACGTTTTAGTCATTCTCATAATGTTTCTAACTTTATCATTATTATTATATTTGTCATGGTGATCTGTGATCAGAGATTATGACTCACTGAAAGCTTAGATGATGGTTAGCATTTTTCAGCAATAAAATAATCTTTAATTAAAGTGTACACTTGTTTTAGATATAAGGCTATCACACACTTAGTAGACTACAGTAGAATGTAAACCTAACTTTCGTATGTGTGGGGAAACCAAAAAATTCACTTGACTTACTTTATTGCAATATTTGTTTTATGGCAGTTTTTCAGATCCAAACCTGCAATATCTCCAAGGCATTCCTGTAGACCTCCTTAAGTAATTTTGTCCACATTCAGTAATACTCTATCTCTTTACATGTGATGTCAAGACCTGATCATAGTCCTAATTCCTCTTTCCTATGTCTTGTGTCATTGTCATCATTTCACTTTTACATATGTCATAAACAAAATGTACATATGGTACATTTTGACTATCTTGTTTTAAATAGTTATTATTAAAAAATATAATACCTCACATTTCATCTATTTATTTCATTTCTAATGTCCTTCATTTCTTTGTGTAGATTCAAGTTTCCTCCCAGCATGACATCCTTTTCTCTGAAGAACTTTGTACAACTTTGTACATGTATTTTTTGTACATTGATTGGCTGATACTGATTCCCTTAGCTTTTCTTTCTTTGGAAAATTAAAATATCTCCTACTTTTGAAGGATATTTTCAGTGGATATAGAATTGTGTGTTGACAGTTGTTTTCTTTCAATGCTTTAAAAATATAATCCATCGTCTTCTTAGTTGCATAGTTTCTGGCAAGCTTATTGGTATAGTTCTTATCTTTATTCCTCTGTATATAATCTTTCTCCTGCCCCCATTACTGTGGCTGCCTTCAAGACTTTCTCCTTTTTATTGTTTTCATTCAGTTTGAATATGACTTGCCAAGGTGTTGGGGGTTCTGTTGGTTCATTTGTTTGTTTTATATTATTTTCTGTTTGATATTTTCTGGACATCATGAATCTTATTTTGGTGTATATCACTAATTTTGGAAATTTTTCTAAAATTATTTCTTCAGATGTTTCTTCTGCCCTGTTCTCTTTGTTTTCTTTCTGGGAATCCAATTACACATATGTTATATCATTTAATGTTGCTTATTGCTCTTTGATACTCTATTCTCTTTTTATATTCCACTCTTTGTTTTTCCTCTTTGTGTTTGGATTGTGTTTTGTATTGACCTATTTTTGTGGTCACTGACTTTCCTTGGCTGTATCACATGTACTATGAAGCCCAACAATGACATTTTCTGTAGATTTTATTTCTAGCTTATCTGAGTCTGTCCTACAGTTTTCATCTCTCCTGAAATTACTCATGTATCTTGCATGTTGTTGACATTTTTCATCAAAGCCTTTAACATACTGATCATAGTTATTCTAAAGTCCTTGTCTGAAAGCTCTAACATCTGTTCTGTATCTAAGTCTGGCTGTGATGAGTACTTTGTCAGTTCGGGTTGATTTTTTTTTTTTAATGCCTTTTGATATGCCTTAATGTAATGTTTTTTGTTAAATACCTGACATTATATATGACAATAGATACTGTACTATGACAGTAGATACTATAAGTCCTTTCCATGTTTCTTGGTAAGCACACACTTTCTTCTGCAAGGCCTTTACTATGGGGATTTGTGTTAATCTAGTCAGGACTTGACATAGGTTTGAAGTTTGTTATTGCTCTGGTTACCAAAGTTAAAGTATGTTAATGCTGTGGGTTCCAGAGACTTCCAGTAACTCTGGTAGAAGTTTTCTCTACCTCACACAGTTAGCAAATTTGTCTTGATAACCTTTTATTGTAAATTCTTTCTTGTGCTGTTCACTGTTGGGTATTTAAAGGCAACTCTGGCCTCTACCCACTAGATGCCAGCAATATCCCTCAAATTGTGACTACCAAAATTATCTCTAAAGAGTACCACCATGGTTGACTTGGGGTAGCCCTCAGTTGAGAAGCACTACTTTAAAGATATTCTGTTTTACTTCTTGGTTTGGCTCTGGGTCCTCTCTTTGTGCTGCTTCCCAAAGAGACTCTCTCTTTCATCTCTCCATCTGTATTGCCCTCTACATTTATGATCCTAAGGGCCTTTGCAAACTTATTTTCACTCACATTTGGTTTTTAGTGGCTAATTAAAACTAATTTATCTTCATATCAATTTATATGGCCTCTAGTAGAATCTGCTCCAGATAAACATGTACAGGTCCTTTTTTCCTCTGTGCTTGTGCCTGCCTCTATGCAGAATCTATCTTAGTTCTTTGACTTGCTACCTCAATTCTCTAATGGTTTCAACACAAATCATTAATGTTTAGTTTGTCTAGAATTTTTCTGGCACTAGGAGGACAGCAACAATCTTTCTAGCTTTCCACATTTCTGTACCGAAATGGGAAGACCCCATTATCTTTATTATGTCCCTGCATGTCCCCCAAATGTCCCTATTGGCTGTTAATTTTTTCAATCTGGGAGGGGGTCAAGGATGGCCCATTCTAGTGAATTTCATATTTTACTCACCTATCATGTATAATCATTTTAAACCATTTTCTCCTAAGAAACTAAGATTATTTGAATAGCCCAAGATTATTGTTTTACATAATGTCTCCTAAATGTATTTGTCTAACATTCTTCCATGGTTACTTGCAGATTAAATGTTTCTGGGAGGGATGCTACAGATGTGCTGTTGTGTCCTTAAGTGGTCTACATCTATGAATGTATGAGATCCATGGCCACAGTTTGGTTACTTGGTTAATGTGTCAGCTAAATATTTACCATGTAAAGGTACCTTCTTCTCTTTTGCATTTAGGAACTAATATGTGGGGTATAAATTTGTTGGTATATGAATACTCTCTTCCCAAAAGGTTTTATCTTAGTTATTTTAGCATCTATTGATGATTCTTGCTTGATTCAGTTAGTGTTATGGTGTCTCTAAAGTGGTTATTTTCATTTTTCCTTTTAGGTATCTCCAGAAAAGATAAGTAGTGTTTAATGGCATTCTTGCAAATCCAGGAGGTTTTTTCCATCCCCTTGTTAGCCTCAGAGTATTGGCTGTTATCCTTAGGCTTTGAGACCATAAAATGGCTATGTAAATGGGCACTGTATACAAGTCATGTCCAGAAACAAAAACAGCAACAACAACAACAACAAACCCAAATTTTTCTTCCATGTTTCTTCTAGAGCAAGAAATATTTTTCTAGACTCTCCTAGGAGTTTTTCTTATTCCACTGGTCAGAATGGGAGCAAATACCTTATGCTAGCCAATCACAGAGAGAAAAATAAAGGAAAAGTGTGATAATTTTGGACAAAATATGGCCCCCTGACTATGACTAAGGATGAGCCAGAACCTCTGATGTATTTGTCTTTGTAAAGGAGACAACACAGTTGACAAATCCTGAATTTCTAATGGGAACTGAGAAGCAGGGCTACAGGGCATGGCTGGAAAACAAGCATGCAGGCTATCAGTCTGGAGGACTCTCCTTCTGCCTCACCATCTTATTCTCAGCACCACCTATGCTGCAATTGTGCATGTGTGTATTAGTGAGAGAAGGCTTAACTCAATTCACTTTCCCTTTCCTTTTATTTCCTCAGAAACATGAATTCTACTTTTGTGCAGAATGTTCCCAGTGAGCTTATCTGCTACATCTGCAAGGACTATTTCACAGACCCTTTCACCCTTACCTGTGGGCACAACTTTTGTACTCCTTGTCTCTGCCTCTTGTGGGAAGATACTCAGCATCCTCCTTGCTGCCCTGTGTGCAGGGCAGTATCTCCATGAACAGACTTAAAAGCATTATTTTTGCTGCAAAACAAGTTCATGTTTCCAATGAATCAGTTGCCTGCCAGTTACCGAACTCTGCCAAGGAAGTCTGTAGGATACACCTAGTAGTAAAGGACCTCTTCTGTCCAACTGACAAGAGCCCACTGTGCTTGCACTGTGCCAATTCCCAAAGGCATGCCACTCACAGACACTCACCAATATCACAGGCTGTGTACCAATATCAGCAGTGCAGGGTAAGTACTGCTTCTGTGAAATGCTCTGTGTCTTATCAGGCAATGAGCAAAAATTGTTGATTTTTATTTTTCTTCTCTTAATCCTCAAGCAAATAGAATTTCAGAATACCATGTGCTAGGAACTGTTCTGAAAACTAGGGATACAACACTGAAGAAATTAGACAAACCTCTTTGCTCCCCTAAAGTTTAAATTCTGTTGGGATAAGGGAGAGGAATGATGATGAGTTGAGGGAGGTGTTGGTATTTCAGAGTAACTAACAGGGTGGGTATTCTCTAGAGGCAGTGGCAGTCACTGGCTACTTCTACCATGATGAAAATGAGCATCTTCCAGTGACAGGAGATTTAAAAACAATGTATTCTAATCAGGTCATAGAAAAAGTGATGGCCATTATTTCAAAATTAAATATGAATCAGGATTCATTTCTGAAAACTGTCCATGTTACATATAATGTAAGTACTGGATTCCTCAGATAATGGATTGCGTTTTCCAAATTCAGGAACTCTATTTTGGGTCAATCTCCCAGATTTGACTCTTAGTGTTCCCAGGGAAAATCACTGACGTATCTGCTTTCTTTATTTTTTATTTTTCTCACACCTATCCCCTTATCACTTTTTGAAGTATGTGAAATGTGCTATATTTGCTTTTCTAGTGCTCAAATTTGTAGTTCTTTTACAGGAGAAACTTCTGCTGCAAAAGAAGTCTATTTGGAAAAGCAGACAGAAAAATCAGCAAAATCTAAACAAAGAATAAAACTTATTTAGAGTATGGCAGGTAAGCAGTAGGCCCTGTTTCTCTTGGAACCAGCTTGGGACAGATACGATGGTAACTGACAGTGGAATAACTTAAATTAAATCATAATGCCCCCTAAGCAGGTAATCAGAAAAAGAACTATGTATATCTCTCTACAGGAAAACATGACCTTCAGTGCAGGATTACACACTAAGCCCATTGTGTAACCAAAAGACTTTTCCTGATTTTTCTGGATAAAACAATATCTACCACTAATACATCATCAGGGATAAGAAAATGCACTATCCCAAGACAGAATGCAATGATCACGGGGATGGAGGTAAATACAGAGTTCAGTAGGAACTTAGCAATCTTTGAATGTTAAGAAAAGCTTCTCAGACAAGTAAAAATCAATGTGATGCTTGCATATAGTAGAATTTGTAATTTCCTGGATATTGATGGCAGAGAGATCTGAGGGACAAGAGAAGTAAAGATGAAACAAACCAGACAACCCATGAAATTGTTTGAGACCTGCCCACTGCTCCTACAGTTTAGTGCATGGGGTACAAGACAGACGGTGATGAGAGGTGTGGCTAGAAATGTCATTATGCCCAGGTCAAGAATACAAATGCCTAACTAAGGATTTGGATTGTGTCATTTGTTGATTCATGAAGAGGAACTGAGAACCTGAATCTGAAGAAGAAAACTACACCTTTCTTTTTAAAGAACTCGAGCAATACTGAAGGAGATATATAAAAAGGCAATATTAGAGAATAAAAATTCATTAAACAGTTATCTATACATGTTGCTATGAGAATGCCAAAGGGGAATAAGAACATTATATTGATTGTTTAGGATGGATTTTTTTTTTTTAAGATTTATTTATTTTAGAGAGAGCATGTGAGCAGGGGTGGGGAGTGGTAGGGAAGGGCAGAGGGAGAGAGAGAATCTCAAGCAGATTTCATGCTGAGCACAGAGCCTGAGACAGGGCTTGATCTCATAACTCTGAGACCATGACATGAGCCGAAATCAAGAGTCCCACGCTCAACTGACTGAGCCACCCAGGCACCCCTAGGATGGATTTCTAATGAATCATTCATTCATATGAGAACCTGTGATGTGTTGCTCACTGTTCTAGGCCAACAAAGAGATACAGGAATGGGCAAAAAGAGAAAACAAATCACTGACCTCAGGAGTTTATAATCAGTAAAAGAACTTGATCCAGAAATTTAAAAAGTAAAATTTATGATATATCACATTTATGAAGTGCTTGGGTAAAATAAAAAATGGGTATAAAGAGTGCGTGCTTGGGGAATGTATGCTGGCGATGGAAGACCCATGGCCAAGGTTACATCTGGGCAGAGATCTGAGGAGCTGGCCAGGGGTGGGGGAGATGTGGGATGAGCACCTCTCTGAGAACAGAGCTTTCTGGAGCAGGAGACAGAAGGGATTAGTAAAAGAAATGAGTAGGAAATAATGTCAAATGTGGAAAGAGGGTGAAGTAATATAAGAATGAATTATATTATTTGGATTTAGTAAAAATAGGTTCTTGGCAAGTTGAACTGTGTAATTCAGGAAAGAGTAGGAAACAGAAGCAAGGAGTCATTGCTTGGATGAATAACTGAAAATTGCACCCATGGGCACAGTGTGTTTGATCACATTTGGTCAATAAGTCTGGCTTTTATGGCAAATGAAAGTATTAGCATAGAAGCTAGATAAAGTCATTTTAACAAGAATGTTTAATGTTGATTTTTCCAAAATGATTTGGTAAATCTGCATATGTTTAAAGGCTGTGTGAAAAGAAGGGGAGAGAGTGAGAAAAAGTGGCCAAATGAGAGCGTGAACTAGAGACAGACCCACAGAAGAAGGGGTACGGAGACACAGATGTAGGAGACAGAGGAGAGGCAAGAACAAGTATGTAGAATTATAATCTAGATGATAATGTCTCTAAGGAGACAAAACAGGGTGGACCAGTCAAGAGGAGGTGGGTGTGGTCCCGAGGTAGGCAGAGCCAGGCTCTGGTGAAACAAGAGTGTTTTGGAAATGAAGGTAATTTAGAAAGATCATGTGTGATGTCCTCTGTTTGCCTAAGGAAGTCAATTGTTGCTTTTTGCTGAGAGCAGATAGTCAGTTTATGAGTATGAGCATTGAGGAAAATGGATTATGATTTAGATACTATGAATTATATGAAACAATAAAAAATTGATCTCAACTTTCTATTTTTACATGAAAACATGGAAGTTTGAGGGTAAGTCATTGGAAGCAATGGTGCAGGCAAATAAATAAATGAAAAAGAAGGAAAGGAATGAGTGGAAAAAGTAAGAAAGAAACCAAATGTGTGGCTTCTTGGAAGGAGAAAGACATAAAGCTGTATGTAGTGTTTCTATAATCTGAATATTTGCTTCAGATAATAATTTGTGTGTTCAAATTCTAACCCCCAAGGTGATGATAAAAGGAGTGGGGGCTTTGAGTGGTGATTAGATCATGAAGCCAGAGTCCTCAGGAATGGGACAAGTGTCCTTCTAAAAGAGGCCCTGGAAATGTCCCTTGCCCCATCTGCTATTTGAGGACACAGTGAAAAGATGGCTATGTAGGAAGTGGGTTCTCACCAGATACCAAATCTGCCAGCACCACTCATAGGCTTCCCAGCATATAGAATGGTGAGAAGTTAATTTCTATGTTTGTTAGCTACCCAGTCTATGGCATTTTTGTTAAAGCAGCCCAAAAAGACTAAGAAAAGAACACTACAGAGCACACAGACCATAGATAATGAAAGAAGAATAAAAACATTCAGATATATGACCAAATTAAACCAATGTCATTTCAGGGTTTTGTAAATCTATGGATGATGATGATCAGGGCTGAATATCCTAAGGTATACCAATATCTCCACGAAGAAAAGCAAAAACATTTAGAGCACCTGGCAGTTGAAGGCAAGATAATTTTTAATCAACTCTGGAGAAATGTAGGGAGAATGCGTCACATGGGGAAACTCCTGAGAAAAATGTATGAGGAAATGTGCTGTGAAACAGATGTGGACCTGTTCCAGGTAAGGACTGAGGAAAGATGTCAGGGTGTTGAATACCAGCCTGCTCAGAAATCATTTATGTCCACTGAAGTCTGTATCCCCTTGGACCTCCATTATTTTCCTGTTTCCAAAGTCCAAATTCTGCCTCTTTTAACTTTGTGATGGCAGGCTTTGTTCCTTCAGTATAACCTGGAGGCTCAGGGTCACATTCACCTTATACAGAAGCAAAACTATGTAGAAAACTTCATGGAACAGACCCAGGAAAAAAAAAATTCCTTCTCAATTCTTCTACTAAACTTTCAGTTTCTAACCAACTGCAAAAGAACAGCTTAGGAATAGATCATTCGATTCTGTATCTGGACTTGTCAATATGTAGAAATGTTGGGTGTATCCATTCTTTCTATTTTGAAATTGTAGATTTGGAGCCCACACACCCTCATAAGAACTTTGGGGAAACCTCTGTGAATTTCTCCATAGATTAGAACAAACACAGACAACTGTTTATTCTAAGAACATCCTCTGTTTTAAATTTTATCATGATTTTATCAACTGTATGCAAATGTAAGATTGAGTTTCATCTTTATAAGGATAAAGAAAAGAGCAAATGATTTTACCCAAGAAAGAAAAGTAGAGATATAGAATTTTCCAGTCCAGTCTCATAGCCTCAGACTAGACTAAAGATATCTTGAGCTCAAAGCTAAGCCTTCCTCTCTTTCTCTTCACAGGATTTGGGAGACATCATGAAAAGGTAAGTTTGCCCCTCTATTCAAGTTGGTTTATGGTGACAGTGGTCAGGCTATTTCTGCTGAGATGGACATACACCTTTTTGTGACAAGTTTCTTTCTGTCTGCATTTAGAAATAAATGCAGTTTTATCTAAACACTTTTAGGTTTTATATTGACCACCCTTAGGTAAAAGTGAGGGTTGAGAGGGATGTGGTTTCAGCTGCAAGGCTTAATGCAGAAGTTGCCAAAGGACAATTATTTTTCCTGTCTCTAATTTTCAAAATCCTAATTATTTGAGGATTATTCCAGGTCTTCTATGGGAAAGGCAAATAAGCTCAGAGAGGCAGCAGGTGGAAGGATGGTGAGAAGAGGGGACAGGGAAAGTCCCCAGGATAGAGCATCCTACAGAGCTTAGGCTCCATATGTACCAGGCAGCAAGTTCCAAAATTTTGGCACCTATTGGATTTGGGGACCTAAAAGAAAATGGCTATGTGGTTCCCCTAGGGAAGCTGAAAGTAAGAAAGAGATAAATTGTGAGTGAAGTGACATATCTTACTGAGATTGGAGTGGTAAGAGCAGGGTAGCTAATTATAAAATGCAAAAACAACTGCAGTATTCCTCGATTTGTGGAGTTGAATTCACACCCTTTGCACATGAGAGGATTCTGATGGAGCATCTCCAAGGGATTGCTTATGATACCTCGGGACATGTTAGTAAGTGGTTCTTTTTCTTTGCAGGAGTCAGTTAATGCAGCTGCACATTCCCCAGCCTGTGAACCCTCAGCTGAGCTCATGGACCATCACAGGGATGTCCAAAAGGCTTAACAACTTCCGAGGTGAGAGGGGGCACCCTGGTGAGACCTCACTATTTCCTCCAGGAGGAGATACACCTGGAGGACCTCTCCTCATTGCTCTGTTAGTCTTTTCAAGGAACAGGAAAGCAGGTAAATATGAATACCCTTATAACTAACTATATTTTATTGTTAGTTAACAAGTAAAATCTCTCTGAAGTCAGTCAAAAACAATTGAATATGACAGTTTCCTTATGATAATTTTCAGTGAGTTTAAAACACTGAAAGCACATGGCATTAAAACTACATATTAATTCAGTGTATTTCAACTTGTAGTTGTTAACTATGGTTATGTGTAGATGTTTAGATTCTTAGAAGCACCTTTAGTTGTTATTTAAATGTTTATTTAAAAATATAATTTAAGCAATGTATTTGAAAAATCACAAGATTTTTAAAAAGGGATAAAAGTATCTTTATAAACAATAGGAACAACCAGAAAACAAATGGAACATATGATTCGTTGTGTGGAGGGACAGGTGTAGATGGTGAGCCTGGCAGATAGGAGAAGCAGGCCTTGGATGGGATAAGTTGGATTCGGATTTCACAATGTATGAGTTAGAAATTCAGAGAGAAAAACCACTTCTAAAAAAAAAAGGTAAATATGGCTTTTCAGTTTATTTCACCTTGGCTTGTTTACATGTTTTGTCCTCATGTTTGAGCAAGGTGATCACTATTTAGAACTAATAAGCAATATCATATTTTTAAAGTGATATGTAATACATTTATTACTGTTATATTTATTTTATTTTGTGCTAGTTGATTAATGAGAAGACTTAAGCAAGTGAAGGGCCATATTGGTATTTACTTGGCATCTATGAGCAAGCTCCTAAATTTTCAACAAGCTAGTGAAAATAAAACCAGAGCCTGACATCCTACATGTTTCTGTATTCTCAAAACTGTCTTTCATCTAGTTCTATGAATAAACATTTACTTGCTCTGTAAATAGGCAAGGAGCCCTTGCTGATGTCTCTGAATTTCCAGTGACACACTCTGTATAGTAACTTGTGATAAAGGAGTGTTCTGGAACAGTTAGTATGGACTCTGTCATGAAAGCTAATTGTTACATGTTCCAGAATTTTATCATGAGTTACTAAGTGGTAAGTACATTGAAACTGGCCATGGTGGGGTGGGAGTGTTCTCAGGAAACAAAACAAACCAGTTTCGTTTGGTTTTAGAGCTGTGCTTGTTTGGCGTTTTCCAGAAGACTACTGCACTTGTCCACAGAACTTTTAAACTCTGTTCTTTGACTTCACTGTTTTCTTTTTACTGAAGTGTATCTTACATTGGACCGTAACATAAGCAATTATCACGTGGCTCTGTTTGAAGACTTGAGACACTTGCAATGCAGTCCTGACTATCAAGACATGCCCCACAGTCCAGCAAGTCCACAATACATGCCTTTGTGGGGAGCTCAGACCTTCACCTCTGGCAAACATTACTGGGAGGTGGATGTGGGAAACTCTCATAACTGGATTGTAGGACTTTGCAAGGAATCCTGGATAAATCACAATGGTATGCTGCTCAACTCTGAGGGTATCTTTCTACTTCTGTGCATCCAAATGGATGACATCTGCCACCTCTTCTCTGCCTCCCCACCATTGTGCCACTACATCCAAAGACCCCAGGGCTGGATAGGGGTGTTTCTAGATTATGAATGTGGTACAGTAAGCTTTGTTAATGTTGCCCAAAGCTCTGTCATTTGTAATTTACTCTCATGCTCCTTTACTTGCCCTCTCAGACCTTTCATTTGCTATGGACCCAAATGATCAGGAACAGCTCACAAACTTGACCAAGGTCTTGGGAATTTTAACAGTTGGGGAGGATCCTATACTGGTGACTTCTCAAATGGGGAAAGTCACTTATACCTCATGGACTTGAACTTCACCTTACCTTCAGGAGATATATTTGTATTATTTTTTAAAGTGGTGACAATGTGAAGGATGCACTATTGTCTTTTCTATTTTATTGAAATAAAAGTAATCTATTTTATTATATTGTGTGGGATATGTGCACTTTTCATTTGCTATCTGAGCTTCCTAAAAGTGAAAGAATGCATGGGTGTGGAAGCTAGCTAAATGGGTGTGGAAGCTAGCTAAATGGATGAATGCAAAGCACAGAGAATTCTCCTTCCAGACAGTTCTTGTCAAAACCCAGTGTCACTGTGGAAATCTCTTCTTCCTCCATTCATCTGGCTAAGTCCCTCCTCCATCAGCTCTCTCTTTACTGGACTAGATTAGGACACGTTATAACAAGACCTCAAGAACAGCTTATCTTGGGATATGAGCAAGATGGCAGAGGAGTAGGAGACCTAAAATATGTCTGGTCCCAGGAATTCAGCTGGATAGGGATCAAACCATTCTGAACACCTATGAACTCAACAGAGATCGAAGAAAGAATAGCAGCAACTCTCTGAACATAAAAGCAACCACTTTCTGGAAGGTAGGATGAAGTGAATCTGAGGTGATATTTGGGTGGATAAACGGCGGGGGAGGGGGCCTCCATCCGCCGCTTCTGTCAAGTGATAGAGCAGCTGAGCACAAAATCGGAACTTTTAGAAGTCAGCTCCGCTGACGGACGTCACTCCAGTGGCTAAGCAGGGGCTGGGACTCTCACTGGGACAGTGTGGACTGGGGGTGCCTGAGTGCGGCAGAGCTCCCAGGTATCAGAGTGGGGAAGCCGGCTGCAGAGACAGAGCTGGGGCATGGGCTCTCAGCTGGGGGTTGCCATAAACCGTGATCCATGGCACAGTAGGGCCACTGCTCCTCCAGCAGGGACCCAAAAAGCGGCAGATCTGAGGAGACTCCTCTTCCTCCCCCTGGAGGAGCGGTGTGGGAGTGCACCACAGGGATCTGCTCGGTTTGGAGACCCCACATGGGGTCGGGTGCCAGAGATAGAAATGCTCAGTCACAGGACAGTTGAGCACAGAGTGCGACGGAGACCGGGGAGGTGGGAGTGACTGACTGCTTTTCTCTGGGGGCTCAGAGAAGCGAGGCTCTGAGTTCTCAGCTCCTCCAGGGCAGAGACTGGGAGGCTGCCATTTTCACTCTCATCCTCCAAAGCTGAACGGAAAGCTTGCAGGGAACAAAAGCTCCCGAGAGCAAACCCGAGTGGATTACTTAGCCCAGTCGGCAATTCTGCCTCCAGCAAAAACATTTGGGAACCACAGCAACAGGCCCCTCCCCCAGAAGATCAGCGAGAACAGCCAGCCAAGACCAAGTTTACCGATCAATGAGAATGGCAGAATGGCAGCACTAGGGGAATACAGCATATAGAATTCATGGCTCTTTTTCCTCTGATGCTTTAGTCTTTCAAAGTTAATTTTTTTAATTTTCTTTTTTTTCTTTTTCCCTTTTTCAACCAACATCTTATCAATCCCTTTTTAAAAAATTTTTTTTATTTTTCATTTTTAGAATCATATTCTATCCCTTCATAGTAGTTAACCTTATTTTTGGTATATATAAGTTGTTCTCTTTTTAAAATTTTAGGATACAGTTTCTTCTAACAGACAAAATAGACCCTAAATCTCTAGTGTATGGCTTTGTTCTAGTCTCCTGCCTGATCACATTCTCTCCTTTTTTTTTTTTTTAATTCCTCTTCTTTCTTTTTTCAACCAACTTCTTATCAATTCCTTTTATAAAATCTTTTATAATTTTCATCTTTATAGTCATATTCCATCCCTTCATCATATTTACTCTTATTTTTCTACATATATAAGTTGTTCTTTCTTTAAAATATTGGAGGCAGTTTCCTCTGACAAACCAAAATACACCCAAAATCTAGTGTGTGGCACTGATTTATGCACCAGCCTGATAATATTTGATCATATTCTTTCTTTTTTTATCTTTTTCATTTCTTTTTTTTTTCTTTCTTTCCCTTTCTGATCCCCCGGTTTTAGGTCTCTTCTGATTTGTTTACTGTATATTTTTCTGCGGTTGTTGTTACCCTGTTAGCATTTTGGTCTCTCATTCATCTATTCACCTCTGGACAAAATGACAAGATGGAAAAAATCACCTCAAAAAAAAGAACAAAAGGCAGTACCGACTGCCAGGGACCTAATCAATATGGACATTAGTAAGATGTTGGAACTAGAGTTCAGAATGATGATTTTAAAGATACTAGCTGGGCTTGAAAAAAGCATGGAAGTTATTAGAGAAACCCTTTCTGGAGAAATAAAAGAACTAAAATCTAACCAAGTCAAAATCAAAAAGGCTATTAATGAGGTGCAATCAAAAATGGAGGTGCTAACTGCTAGGATTAATGAGGCAGAAGAAAGAATTAGTGATATAGAAGACCAAATGATGGAAAATAAAGAAGCTGAGAAAAAGAGAGATAAACAACTACTGGATCATGAGGGCAGAATTCGAGATGTAAGTGATACCATAAGATGAAACAATATTAGAATAATTGGGATCCCAGAATGAGAAGAAAGAGAGAGAGGAGCAGAAGGTATAATGTAGCAAATTATAGCAGAGAACTTCCCTAATTTGAGGAAGGAAAAAGGCACCAAAATCCAGGAGGAACCGAGAACCCCCCTCAAAATCAATAAAAATAGATCAATACCCTGACATCTAATAGTAAAACTTATGAGTCTCAGAGACAAAGAGAAAATCCTGAAAGCAGCTCGGGACAAGAGATCTGTAACCTACAATGGGAGCAACATTAGATTGGCAACAGACCTAAGCACAGAGACCTGGCAGGCCAGAAAGGACTGGCATGATATATTCAGAGCACTAAATGAGAAAACTATGCAGCCAAGAACATATATCAGCTAGGCTGTCATTGAAAATAGAAGTAGAGATAAAAAGATTCCAGGACAAAGAAAAACTAAAGGAATTTGCAAACACAAAACCAGCCCTATAAGAAATATTGAAACAGGTCCTCTAAGCAAAGAGAGAGCCTTAAAATAACATAGGCCAGAAAGGAATAAAGACAACATACAGTACCAGTCACCTTACAGGCAATACAATGACACTAAATTCATATCCTTCAATAGTTACCCTGAATGTAAATGGGCTAAATGCCCCAATCAAAAGACACAGGGTATCAGATTGGATAAAAAAAAAAGACCCATCAATATGCTGTCTGCAAGAGACTCATTTTAGACCCAAAGACACATCCAGATTGAAAGTGAGGGGGTGGAAAACCATTTACCATGCTAATGGACATGAAAAGAAAGCTGGGGTGGCAATCCTTATATCAGATGAATTAGATTTTAACCCAAAGACTATACTAAGAGATGAGGAAGGACACTATATCCTACTTAAAGGGTCTATCCAACAAGAAGATCTAACAATTGTATATATCTTTGCCCCTAACATGGGAGCAGCCAATTATAGAAGCCAAGTAATAACAAAAGCAAAGAAACACATCAACAACAATATAATAATAATGGGGGACTTTAACACCCCGTCATGGAAATGGACAGATCATCTAAGCAAAAGATCAACAAGGAAATAAAGACTTTAAATGACACAGTGGGTCAAATGGACTTCACAGACATATTCAGAACATTCCATCCCAGAGCAACAGCATACACCTTCTTCTCTAGTGCCCATGGAACATTCTCCAGAATAGATCACATCCTAGGTCACAAATCAGGTCTCAACTGGTACCAAAAGACTGGGATCATTCCCTGCATATTTTCAGACCACAATACTTTGAAACTAGAGCTCAATCACAAGAGGAAATTTGGAAAGAACTCAAATACATGGAGGCTAAAGAGCATCCTACTAAAGAATGAATGGGTCAACCAGGAAATTAAAGAATTTTAAAAATTCATGGAAACAAATAAAAATGAAAACACAACTGTTCAAAATCTTTGGGATGCAGCAAAGATAGTCCTAAGAGGAAAGTATAGAGCAATACAAGCCTTTCTCAAGAAATAAGAAAGGTCTCAAATACACAACTTAACCCTACACCTAAAGGAGCTGGTGAAAGAACAGCAAATAAAGCCTAAACCCAGCAGGAGAAGAGAAATAATAAAGATCAGACCAGAAATCAATAAAATAGAAACCAAAAGAACAGTAGAACAGATCAACGAAACCAAGAGCTGGTTCTTTGAAACAATTAATAAGACTGATAAACCCCTTGCCAGACTTACCAAAGAGAAAAGAGAAATGACCCAAATAAATAAAATCATGAATGAAAGAGGAGAGATCACAACCAACACCAAAGAAATACAAACAATTATAAGAACATATTATGAGCAACACTGTGCCAGCAAATTAGATAATCTGGAAGAAATGGATGCATTCCTAGAGATGTATCAACTACCAAAACTTAACCAGGAAGACATAGAAAACCTGAACAGATCTATAACCACTAAGGAAATTGAAGCAGTCATCAAAAATCTCCCAAAAAAACAAAAGCCCAGGGCCAGATGTCTTCCCAGGGGAATTCTACCAAACATTTAAAGAAGAATTAAAACCTATTCTTCTGAAACTGTTCCAAAAAATGGAAATGGAAGGAAAACTTCCAAACTCGTTTTATGAGGCCTCCATTACCTTGATCCCAAAACCAGACAAAGACCCCATCAAAAAGGAGAATGACAGACCAATATCCTTAATGAACACGGATGCAGAAATTCTCACCAAAATACTAGCCAATAGGATCCAGCAGTACATTAAAAGGATTATCACCACGACCAAGTGGGATTTATCCCTGGCTGCAAGTTTAGTTCAACATCCGCAAATCAATCAATGTGATACAATACATTAATAAAAGAAAGAACAAGAACCATATTGATCCTCTCAATAGATGCGGAAAAAGCATTTGACAAAGTACAGCATCCTTCTTGATCAAAACTCTTCAGAGTATAGGGATAGGGGGTACATATTGCAATATCATAAAAGCCATCTATGAAAAACCCACAGCCAATATCATTCTCAATGGGAAAAAACTGAGAGCTTTCCCCCTAAGGTCAGGAACATGGCACAGATGTCCACTATCACCACTGCTGTTCAACATGGTATTAGAAGTCCTAGCCACAGCAATCAGATAACAAAAAGAAATAAAAGGCATCCGAATCAGCAAAGAAGAAGTCAAACTCTCACTCTGCAGATGGTATGATACTTTATGTGCAAACCCAAAAGACTCCACCCCAAAACTGCTAGAACTCATACAGGAATTCAGTAAAGTGGTAGGATATAAAATCAATGCACAGAAATCAGTGGCATTCCTATATACCAACAACAAGACAGAAGAAAGAGAAATTCAGGAGTCGATCCCATTTACAATTGCACCCAAAACCATAAGATACCTAGGAAAAAATCTAACCAAAGAGGCAAAGAATATGTACTCAGAAAACTATAAAATACTCATGAAAAAAATTGAGGGAGACACAAAGAAATGGAAAAACGTTCCATGCTCATGGATTGGAAGAACAAATATTGTGAAGATGTCAATGCTACCTAGAGCAATCTACACATTTAATGCAATCCCTATCAAAATACCATCCACTTTTTTCAAAGAAATGGAAGAAATAATCCTAAAATTTGTGTGGAACCAGAAAAGTCCCCGGATAGCCAGAGGAATGTTGAAAAAGAAAAGCAAAGCTGGCGGAATCACAATTCCAGACTTCAAGCTCTATTACAAAGCTGTCATCATCAAGACAGTATGGTACTGGCACAAAAACAGACACATAGATCAATGGAACAGTAGAGAGCCCAGAAATGGACGCTCAAATCTATGGTCAACTAAGCTTTGACAAAGCAGGAAAGAATGTCCAATGGAAAAAAGACAGTCTCTTCAAAAAATGGTGTTGGGAAAATGGGACAGCCACTTGCAGAAGAATGAAACTGGACCATTTCCTTACACCACACACAAAAATAGACTCCAAATGGTTGAAAGACCTAAATGTGAGACAGGAGTCCATCAAAATCCTAAAGGAGAACACAGGCAGCAACCTCATCAACCCTAGCCACAGCAACTTCTTCCTAGAAACATCGCCAAAGGCAAGGGAAGCAAGGGCAAAAATGAACTATTGGGACGTCATCAAGATAAAAAGCTTTTGCACAGCAAAAGAAATAGTCAACAAAGCCCAAAGACAAGTGACAGATGGGAGAAGATAATTGCAAATGATATATCAGATAAAGGGCTAGTATCCAAAATCTATAAAGAACTCATCAAACTCAACACCCAAAGAACAAATGATCCAATCAAGAAATGGGCAGAAGACATCAACAGACATTTTTCCAAAGAAGACATCCAAATGGCCAACAGACACATGAAAAAGTGCTCACCATTGCTCAGCATCAGGGAAATCCAAATCAAAACCTCAATGAGATACCACCTCACACAAGTCAGAATGGCTAAAATTAATAAGTCAGGAAATGTCAGATGTTGGCGGGGATGTGGAGCAAGGGGAACCCTCCTACACTGTTGGTGGGAATGCAAGCTGGTGCAGCCACTCTGGAAAACAGTATGGAGGTTCCTCAAAAAGTTGAAAATAGAGCTATCATATTATCCAGCAATTGCACTACTGGGTATTTACCCCAAAGATACAAAAGTAGTGATCTGAAGGGGTACGTGCACCCAGATGTTTATAGCAGCAATGTCCACAATAGCCAAACTATGAAAAGGGCCAAGATATCCATCGACAGATGAATGGATAAAGAAGATGTGGTATACATATACAAGGGAATATTATGCAGCTATCAAAAGGAATGAAATCTTGCCATTTGCAACAACGTGAGTGGTATTGGAGGTTATTATGCTGAGTGAAATAAGTCAATCAGAGAAAGGCATGTATCATATGATCTCACTGATATGAAGAATTCTTAATCTCAGGAAACAATCTGAGGTTTGCTGGAGTGGTGGGGGGTGGGATGGATGGGGTGGCTGGGTGATAAACACTGGGGAGGGTATGTGCTATGGTGAGCACTGTGAATTATGTAAGACTGTTGAATCACAAACCTGTACCTCTGAAACAAATAATACATTATATGTTAAAAAAAAAAAAGAAGAAGATATTAGGAAGGGAAAAATGAAGGGGAAGGGAGACGAACCATGAGACTATGGACTCTGAGAAACAAACTGAGGGTTCTAGAGGGGAGGGGGTGGGGAATGGGT